GACCCGATTGTTTGTACACAAGGAATATATAGCGATGTAAAGCATCCTTCGGTGGACCGGAGCCCCTATAACCGGCCAAAGTCTCTCCGTTGGACACATCACTGCCCGGGATATTGACTACAAGCCAGTGCTTAATCTCAGACATCTCGCCGACATCCGGATCAGTCATAACCAGAGTATAGTATTCGCCCTCTTCTGTGGGCCACTGAACTGTGGGCTCGTCTTTGACAGACAGTGGCGTCAACTCATTGCCCAGATTTACGTCAACACCACTCGGATAGTGAATCTGTTCATTGAATTATATTTACTTTATTAAATATTAGTTTGGTTAAGTTAGCTAAATAAATACCTTGATTATATTATTGGGAACTGTGTCCACAACGTCTGGTATTATTTTCTCCATTTAATTACACGTTAATCGTTGAAAGTAATAGAGATCTCACTAGAAATATGTTTTGCAAATAAATATTTTTTGCATTGTTTAATGACTTGTATTTATAGTTCGTTTGTAAATACTTTTACAGTACATTTACACGTAATTGTATATAAAATTAAATACCACTGTATCTAATCAATAGACTTACGTATAACTTATACTGACAATTAAAATTGAAACAATTATTTTCATAAAAAGTTTTGTATAAATAATGAGTACACACCTAGATCATTATTACGTTTATAGTTCTATCCTTATGTATCCAAAATTCCAATAACATTTTAATTTAATAGAAAAATAATAAAAATAAATTTTTAAAATTAATTCATTAAAATTATTTTTACAAATAAAATTGTATAAATGAAATTAATATTCAGTAGTGAATCAGTAAACTGCATTTAAAATTACGTTTTAGTGTCGTTTATTATCCAATAGAAAAAGTATTATAAACGATAGTGTCCTAGGTGCAACTACTGTTTGCTATAAATTCAATGATTACAGAAATACTGTAATTCTTTCTAAATGCCATTTATTTTTTAATTCTTAAATTTAGTCATTATTATTAAATATAAAATTATTAAATACATATTTATGTTAGTAATTAACTCCCATTGAAAGTATTACTTTACTATAACTTTAGTAAATTTCTAAATAAGTGACCAATTATTGAATTCATTGAAGTGTGAGTTTTATATAAAAGCCTTTACAATTAAGAAACTAAAAAAATACAATATTTATACATTGTGTTAGTATCTATATATACTTTACTGTTTACTTATATTAATAGTAGTTTTAAAAGATTTAAAGTATGATTTATAAATTGTTATGCAATTTTGTATTATTTATGACAGGAATTGTTTTCATAAGAGTGACAATTGGCGAAGAAATCAAAAATCAATCAATAAATAGATATAAAAGAATGTCTCCCTTAAGACGCGACGGTATTGTTCCCGATGTTATCGATTCGGTACCAAAGAATACGATTACGGTATAAATTGATTGTAAAATTACAAACATTTAATTTAATAATTGACATTAAAATTAGGTGAAGTACTCGTCTGGAGTTGAGGTAACTCTCGGCAACGAATTAACACCGACTCAAGTGAAGGACAGGCCAGTCGTGAGCTGGACGGCCGACACCGGTAGCCTCTATACCCTAATAATGGTAGACCCGGACGCGCCCAGTCGTCAGGACCGGGCGTACGGCGATGTGAAACATTGGTTAGTGATTAACATCCCGGGCCATGACGTTAGCAAAGGGCACACTTTGGCTGAATTTGTCAGTTCCGGTCCACCGAAAGACTCGGGTCTTCACAGATATATATTTCTAGTGTATAAACAGTCGGATGTGATTCACACCGACGAGAAGACTGTGTCCGAGCGTTCAATCGATGGCAGAATGATGTGGAAT